TGGCCCAGGTGTTTATTATTGACGTCACCTGCTATTGCACTTATTACTACTACTTTTGTTTACCTCCAGTTCCTTTATATACTGTATTGTCCGAGGCTTGGTTCGCCACAATGACGAACGGTGCAGGGAAGGTTCCGGGTTCCGGACGACGATGTGGCCATTCAACTAGAGAGGCGAGAGCTCTGCGCCTTGATCACCGGAGGGATCTTGAAGACGTCTCCAGTGATAGCACCGATGATGGAGAAAACTAATTCTGTTTCTGTCGGAGCAGAACATTGGGGAATGAAACGACTATTGAATAAATTGATTTTTGTCAACGAGTTAACTCGTTTTTGTGTATTCCTATTTTTTCAAAAAAAATAAGACACAAAATATAAGGGTTACCCTTTCAGCACCGATTATTTGATGCGGGTCATTTGGCACCTGTACCAGTAGCCGATAAAAGCCTCTTCTTAGGTCAAGAAGATCAAATCAAAATTAGCAAACTTAGTGACGTGGAGAATTCATATTCTGCATTATTTGTAAAAAAAAATCGTGAATCTAGTGGTAGCAATATGTGAGACAATATACAAGTATTGTACAAAAATCGCAAAACCATTTAGAATCGAGATGTAGATTAACGATAAGGCATGCTCCGATCATAACGCAAGGCGGAGTAGTAGAAAAGGCGACGAAAAAGACGCGCTGAAGGCGATAACGTCCGACGTTGGCGACGCCTCGCACATCCCAAACATGCCGCAGTCGTCGACAGACGTGCAAGACTCTCCGCTCGTGAGCTTCTACCTTAGTCGTCCCGACCTCAGGCGCAGAGTAGCTGCTCCGCCTTCTTGCGCTACAATGTTGTCCAGCACGCTCTCCGCTGCGGTGCTAGATCCCCCTGCGACGGTGTTTCTATTGTTATCATCAGCCATTGCTACGTCCACCGTCTGCAGCTTCATGACCAGCACTTGCTCGTACGAATACGCGTGTCTGACAAACCGTATTCGCCATCGCTTATTGACGTTATTCAAGGCGCTCGAGAACTCCATCGGCGCCTGGCCGCCCAGACACTCGCACCGACAGTGAGAGCAGCAGTAGCAGCGTCGACTGCGACTTGTCAGCTTGTCGAACCTTCGTGTTGAAAGTCCAGCAAACGCTCAATTGCACCACAGACTTTCCACTGATGACGACGATTCGGTCTTTCCAGGAAGGGGACACGAGGCCCGAGTGATGGCGCAAGTCAATGGTGAGCTGAAAGAATATGGCTGCCGTGTGCGTGTCTGTCACCCGATTGGCAGTACCTAGTGGTAATTTGCCTGCCAAAGGCAATTTTTACGACTGACGCTGCATTCAATGGCATGTCCGATGAATGAGGTTTCGTGGGATATGGCGCTTAAACCAGTGCAGATATTACGGTAGGAATGACTGTCCCCTAATATTCCGATTCGCCACATCTCGTAGCAATGCTGAAGCTTTTCTGACCGTCAGGTCGGACGCAGTAGGCATCATTGGCACGAGGTCGGTGCCTGTGGCGCTTGTGGATGACGAATGATGGACACTTTACCAGAAGCTGATTATTGCGTTATAATACATTGTGTGGGCGTCCGATACGGAAGCATACATAATGGGTAAACTACATATGTACTAACGAGATTAAAATATCCGTATTATAATCCGCTGGCAGCGCTTTTTGCCCAAGGACACAGACTACGAAGCCACAATTAGAGCAATCGGCTTTGATATTGTGGCTATGGTTATGCAATCCAATACATTGGGTCCCCCAGGCTCCTTTGGGACGAAAGTTGTGTTCATTATTGTCGTGGTAGTTATTGGACGCCTTAGGGACCTGTGTGAGAGTATGTTGAAACGAGCAGCAGGGGTTACAGACTCGGGAGCGCTCATTCCAGGCCATGGTGGCGCGTTAGGTCGTATCGACGCACTGATGTTCGCGACGCTAGTGTTTTCACGCTGCTAGCCCATGATGCATTGAATGGCGTCTTGAGGCGTGGGGGCTATCGAACTAGTTCATGTACGTAGTATGCGTAAAGCATTCCACGTTGTGCAATATAGAAACCAACTCTCTCTCTCTCTCTCTCGTCTTCACTTCTGTACTAGGAGCCTAAACT